TTACTGGGTCAACACATATCAACTTACTGTAGTTCTGCTACAATCACCATTGATTAATAATTGGCCAATGTTATTGTTCCACAAACATTTTGAAGAACTTGCCTTACTCACGAGCAGAATAAGTGGCTTCATCCAGGGTGTAATTTGGCAGAAGGACTCCTGTTGAGAAATCTGCGAGCCTGTCAGTGTGTGAAATTCTTCCTTTGAAGGAATTCATTCTTTCTGGTAAGCAATGCCCTCTCTCTAAACAAATGCAGAGATACTGCATGAAACTCCCACCCTCCTGGCGTGCACTTGCCCGATTCTCTTCCTGCTCCACTTTCTTTAACCTGATGTGTGCCTGGATCCTGGAGGAGTGTGACCTGCTCTGCCCTTGGAAAGCAGATGGCAGGTTCTGATTTGCTGTCTACTCCTGTTGCTAGTGCTACAAGCTTACTGGTAACTGTGATTTCAAACAACTCTTGTCAATAGATGTGTCAGATTTAGATTTGTGTTGGTTTCAGAAAATGCTTTATTAGGGCAAATTAAAGCATATATTTGGTACTATAAATAGTTAAATTTGTATTTAAAAAAAAACCTTTGATTGTTGGGTATGCTTTTGGTAGTTTTGAGCTTTAAATGACTTACGTAGCTGTGAACTTTTGCTAATGATGTGGCTTATAAAGGGGACATATATTAACACTAGACTTTAAATTTCTGTAAAACTGGTTAAAGTGGGGGATGGGTGCCGATATTGTATTAGTCTTGTTTTAAGCTGGACATTGTATTAAGTGGGAGAAACAAATAAATATGATATAAAAGTTTTGAGTGACTTCCTGTTAACTTCTTATTCTGAAAACCACCCTTGTGGAAGAACATATTGAGAACCCATTTCAAGCCCATATTTTAAATCATTTTCAAATCACGAAAACCCAAGATATTGTCACTATTTTCCTCACTCGAGTAAAAATTTACCTCTCTACTCTCTTAAGTATAATATTTTAGAAATAACTTGATACAAGCACCAGATGGCAAAAGCCTGTCAGCAGCTGAGAAAGTGGAGCGCCAAAACTTCACTTTCCTTCGTTCTCGATAATCCTTAGGTAACTCGTGGATCTGATACCAAAGAATTCCCTAAATGTTTTCTAGAGCATCAATCTCTCATCCATTGTTGGGGAATTGGGATTAAAATCCACGCCTTTATTTAATGCTTTTGGAAGGGTGGTCTGTTTTGTTTATCAGATGGGCTCTGATACGCGACATTTCTTTCACACCGCCTCTCATGGTGCCAGACTTGTTTCTGTGGACGATTTCATTTATTGGGAGAAGAGCCTGAATGGGGGAGACGTTGTTGTTGTTGTTATGTGCCATTGAGTTGGACCCGACTCATAGCGACTCCTCCTTGGGTTTCTGAGGCAGTATCACTACAGAAGTAGATTGCCCCATCTTCCTTCCAAGGAGCAGCTGGCAGATTTGAACCTTCAGCCTTCTGGTTAGTAGTCAAGTGCCTTAGTCACTATGCTACCAGGGGGAGACATAGGACCTGGGAAAAACACATTTTGTATCCTCCATTTGGCTCCAGGCTCTTCCCTGATCCAACTTCTGTACTTTTAACAATTTTAAGTCAAGATCCTCCAAGAATTTTGACAAAGGGGGTTAACTTTTATTTCTGCTAGGTCTATCACAGGAAGTGGGGACAGGAAAATTCCCGAACAGAGTGATTTTCAAGGGGTCCATTCTTAAACTGATGAGTTTGGTGCACCCAAACCCAAAATCACTGCCACCAAGTTGATTCCAACTTGTAATGATCACACAGAAGAGAGTAGAACTGCCCCCATGGGGTTTCCAAGGCTGTAAGCCTATATGCAAGCAGACTGCCTCGTCTTTTTTTTACGGCTGTTGGATTCGAACTGCTGACGTTTTGCTTAGCAGCTGAATGCTTGACCACTACACCACCAGAGCACCTTTCATAATAATAAAGTCTCCCTTTTTGCTTGTTTAAAGGAACCCTGCTGGTGCAATGGCTAAGCTCTCAGCTGTTAACCGAAAGGTGAGCAGTTTCAACCCACCAACCACTCTGCAGAAGAAAAGACCTGGTGATCTGCCCCCATCAAGATTACAGGGAATCTTGTACCTACCCTATGGGGCAGTTCTACTCTGTCCTACAGAGCTGCTGAGTCAAAATTGAGTCAATGGCACCCAGCAACTTCTACTTGTTACTTTGAGTGTTTACTTGACTTGCAAACAATCTTGAAAAAGACAGGTTGAGAAGACAGGGATGCTACCAAGCCAAATAAAAAAAAAAGAAAAAACTCCTTGCTATCACATCTATTTCCAGTCATGGCGCCCCCCTCCCCGTGTTCCAGAGTACAACTGCCCCAGGGGGTTTTCTGGGCTGTAATCTTTATGGAAGCAGGCAGCTAGAGCTTTCTTCCGTGGCACTGCTAGGTGGATAGCTCCACTGCCAACCTTTAGGTTTAGTAGCTGTGTGCAACCTGCTTGTGCCACCCAGGAACCTAGAGGGAGTCTACAAATGGAGTTCATGCGTGGTACAAACAGTTACCACACTCAGCTGCTAACCAAAAGGCTGGGGGTTCCAGGCCACCCAGAGGGGCCTCAGAAGAAATGTCTGATGATCTATTCCGGAAAAATCAGCCCCGGGAAACCCTGTGGAGCACAGTTCTCCTCTGACACATGTGGGCTCACTGGGAGTCAGAATCGAATCCCCAGCAATTGGTTTTATTCTACAAATACACTGGAAAATAAGAACAGGAGCCAAGCTTCTCAGAAATGATAACATCGTCAGAAACACAACTGTGAAGTCTGATGGCCAATTAGAATGCCATTGCATGTACAAGTATGCTCAACTCCCAACCCCCTTGCTCTGCTACTATGGTAACTCGGACCCTCTGATGCTGCTCTGGCTTCCCCTCTTCCTCCTAGGGAACTTCTCCCCAGCAGTCACCTGTTCTGCCTATCGCCTTCCCTACGCGGGTCTTCCTGCGTCTCTGCTACTCTGACGCAGTTCCTCTCTGCTCCATAATCATACTCCCTGCGAGAGGCTCTGATGGGCTCAGTTAGTGAAATCCAATCTAGAATGCATACATACCCTGCCAGGTCATCTCACAGGCTTCTGGCCAGCCTTTGGGCCAGGGTGGCTGGGTCACATGGGACCTAGGCATAAGGACCTTTTTTAGCTACCTGCTTAGAAGGGGGCTGTGGGGACAGCAGGAACTTAGAGGCACATGTGCTGTAGGACTGTGTAGCATATTGTCACCTACGCTGTGAACTCACTTAGGAATGAAATGGGAGCCCAAAACCACATTGCTGGAAACAGCTGTATACTATTTTTGGATCCAGGAAGAAATATTTAGCAATACTTAAATGAGTCCAATAAAACTCGTGTTATCTATATTGTAAAAATGCATGCAAGTTCAGTTCTTCAAATAGTTCCTCCCTAGAACTTCATGAAAGAAACGCAATTGAAAAAAGACGAACATCTATTTAATATTTATTGCTGTGGTGGAAACCACAGACTGTAAATCTCTGTCAGAGAGCCAGGATTTTGTAGAACCCAGACTCAACCGCTTTGTCTAGAAGCAAAGGGCACTAGCAACATCAAGCCTGGGTTATATTTATATTCATCCACGAGTTTATTATTATTTAAAACTAAGTTAATATTTTTCAAATGTGTTTTAATTTTAATGCAGCAAACTGACAAATAGGATTCACATGAACAATAGTTATTTGGTGCCTTCAATAATTTTTATGAGTAAAGGGGTCCTGAGACCAAAAAGTTTGAGAACCGTCTCCAGCAGCCAATACTTCTGTCATATGAGCACTTGTCAACCACCTGAAGTCTGTCTCCCCTGAGTTGTGCCAGTCTTAACTGATGCGTCGCCAGTGCCTAGTACAATCCCTGACACTTAGTAGGTCCACAACAGCTATTTATTTGCCCAATTGAAAAATGGCTCTTCATTTTCATCTGTGGATCTAATATCTGAGTGAAGTTCTGCTTAGCGCAAAAACACGTGGTGTCTTTCTGAAAGAAAGGCAAAGGAATGGATTTAGTTACTTGGCAGTTCCTTTAAGTTTCAGGTTTGGGACTTCAGCAACCCTGAATCCTGAAGTTCAAGAGGCAGGCAACTGCTGCCCGCCTCACTCTCCACAGTCGATCTGCAGCTCACAGAAGGAAAAGTGACAGATAGGAAGGAAAGGACAGGGCTGAGAGACCCGGACAACTCGTTCGTTCATGCACTGTCAACTTGTGCAACATACACTAGGTACCAACCCCTGTGCTGGGCGTATAACCCAGCAAAATAAACAAGAGCAGGCGTACAAATTAAAGTTACCATAAATAAATAAGCAAATACACAGCTGGTGTGTGGGGAGAGGCCTTTGGGTTTGGGAGCCACTTCTTTTTCCCAGCCAGAGAAACTTGGCCGGCCCCCGTCACCCACTCCCCCAAGATGGCGCTCGCCCAGGAGGACTATTCTATGCCTCCCGGCTACTGCCTCGCCCATCCACCGGAACCCCCCGCCGAGCCCGAGCTCCCCAAGTGCTGCGGAACAACAGAAAGCTACCGACTCTCGCCCCAGCCCGCAGTAAGAACAGAGAGCACCCAGGCGCAGAACCAGGCGCCCCGCACGCCCCGCCCCGAGCCTCCTGCCGCTCCAGGCGCGTCGGCGCAGGCTGACGCCATTGGGGGCGTGTCGGCGCGACTCGCGACGTCGCGACGTGCCGACTTTGGCGACTGCGTCAGCCTGAGCGGGGCTTCGTTTGGAAGTCGTTTCTTGGCGTTGCCTCGGGAGCTGCAGTCGCC